CCCGGCCCAGAAATAAATGTTTTAAAGATTTTATGATTTGTAATTGGTTAAGGAAGAAAAGCTTTGTCTAAAAATTTGGGACCAGCAGAAAAAAAAATGTTAGCTCTGGTTTGTGGGCGTGGCCTCCTCCAGGTCCCTCAGGAAAAAATTTAGAACAAATCTACAGTTCAGTTCTACGCGCCAGCAGGTCCATGTGATGGGGTCCCGGTTTCTGAAAAACAACTCAGGGACATATGTTAAGATGTTATCTTTAGTTTCCATAGGGAACATTCCATGTATACCTTGTGATAATTAGTACCTCGCTGTACTTCTTTGGCTAGTGTTTTAAGTGACTGTTATTTTCTTGTTTATCAAGTTGCTCATTTGCTTCTCAGGGCAAGCTAGGTACCTGGAATTTCTCTTCAAGGAAATCAAGATTTTCCTTTCTCTCCATGTTTGGGAGGGTGCCCGGCAGTCTGCCAGGGCAAGGACCAGCTGTCAAGGCATGTGCTGAACTTGGGGCTCCTTCCCCTGTCCCCTTCCTCTTCACTGAAGGTGAAAAGCACAGTCGGGCACTTCGGCCTTCCAGGTTCAGGAGGGAGGCTTCTGCCTCTGTCCCCACAAGCAGACGCTGGGGCAATGAATGCATCACATTGGAACTCAGCATTTCTTCATCTATTCAACATAGGAAGGCGGCATGGTGGAGTAATTAAAAATTCTAGAGCAGTCTGGGCGCGGTGGTTCATGCCTGTAATCCCAGCCTAGGCGGGCAGATCATTTGACGTCAGGAGTTCAAGACCAGCCTGGCCAGTATGTTGAAACCCCGTGTCTACCAAAAATACAAAAATTAGCTGGGCGTGATGGCAGGCGCCTATAATCCCAGCTACTCAGGAGGCTGAGGCAGGAGAATTGCTTGAAACCCAGAGGTAGAGGCTGCAGTGAGCCAAGATCACACCACTGCACCCCAGCATAGGCAACAGAGCAAGACTCTGACTCAAAACAAAAACAGAAAATCTAGAGCAGCAATTGCCAACTGGGTGATTTTACTCCTCGCCCCAGAGGCTGGACACGTTCTTGGTGGTCACGGTTGGGGAGGCCGGGTGAGACTCACATCTGCTAGGTAAAGACCAGAGATGCTGCTAAATAGCCCGCAATGCACAGGACAGCCCCCACCACAAAGACGTATCCAGCCCAAAATGTCAATCATGCCGAGGGTGAGAATCCCCGCTCCAGAGCCAGACTACTCAAGTTCGAATCTCAGCTTCACTGCTTACTAGCCATATGGGCTTAGGCAAGTTACAGACCACTCTGTGCCTGTTTTTCCACCTGTCAAATGGTGACAAGAATAGTACCCGCCTTGCAAGGTTGTTGTGAGTATTAAATGACCTGCTACAGGCGAGGTGATCATCAAGTGTTTGCGAACCATCAGCTGTTGCTCATTTCATGAACTATTTCGAGAGCACTGACTTTGCATCAGGCCCCATTCCAGGCATTGCTGACCCAGTGAGCAAAGCAAACAAGATCTCTGCCCACATAAGGCCCATGTTCTAGTGAGCGATGGGGAGTGAGCAATTTTTTAAAATACCCAAGGAGGCCAGGTGCAGTGGCTCATGCCTGTAATCCCAGCACTCTGGGAGGCCAAGGCAGGTGGATCACCTGAGGTCAGGAGTTCGAGTCCAGCCTGACCAACATGGAGAAATCCCGTCTCTACTAAAATTACAAAATTAGCCAGGCGTGGTGGTGCATGCCTGTAATCCCAGCTACTTGGGAGACTGAGGCAGAAGAATTGTTTGGACCTGGGAGGTGGGGGTTGCAGGGAGCCGAGATTTCGCCATTGCACTCCAGCCTCGGCAACAAGAGCGAAACTCCATCTCAAAAAAAATTAAATAAATAAATAAAATACCCAAGATAGGGTGACAAAGACCGCAGGGACAATCAGCAGGGGAACACGGAGGCTGGCACATCTCGCCTGAAACTTGGATCATGCAAAGCCAGGCACCCATGGTTAAGGAAACTATGAGGGCATCACTCACTCACCTTGAGAGGGGCAAGGGCTTCTCTTATCAGCCTGCTGGGCACCCCTCAGGCATGGAAATAAAGGAAAATCTTGAATTCCCTCAAGTGAACTTCCGGGCAACTAGCTCTCCCTGAGAAACAAATGAGAAATTGATAAGCAAGAAGGTAGCCGTAGCCTAAATCAACAGTCAAGGAAGCTCCAGTCAAGGGATATTCCCTATGGAAACCAGAGATAGATAACCTCTTAATTTATGTGATTTTTCAGAAACCCAGACACCCCTGGCACATAGACCGCAGGTAAGGGGGAGCCAGGGACTAACCTCTGTCCGCCACCCTGTTCTTCCTGAGGGCCCTGGAGGAGGCCACACCCACGAGCCGGAGCTAACGTTCTTTTCTGATGATCCCAAATGTTTAGACAGGGCTTCTCTCCCTTAACCAATTACAAATCAGAAAATCTTTGATTCCACCTATGACCCATGCCCCCCACCCCAAGATGCCCAGACTATTTAGGTCCAACCAATCCACAGCCTCCACATCTTGGGGGGTTTGGTGGTGGGGGGTTTTGAGAAAGAGTCTCACTCTGTTGCTCAGGACGGAGTGCGGTGGCATGATCACAGCTCACTGCAGCGTCAGCCTGCTAGGCTCAGGTGATCGTCTCACCTCAGCCTCCCGAGGAGCTGGGCCCACAGGTGCGTGCCACAGGTGCGTGCCACAGCTGTGCGCCACTGCCCAGTCTGCCTCCATGTATTGATTTACGACATTGCCTGTAACCTCTGCCACCCCACCTTTAAAGCCCTTGCTGTAAGCCACGAGGGAGTTCAGGTCTTCAGCATGAGCTGCCTGATTCTCCTTGCTGGGTGCCCTGCAATCATTGCCTCCATTTCTCTCACTGCAACCCCAAGGCCAGCGTTTGGCGTGGCTCTGCCAGGTGGGCACACCCAAGTCCTGTTTGGTAACAACCTGCTGCAGATGGTCAGTGTTCTGATCGGGCGGAAGGCACTGGGTGACTCTCAGGGGCTTTTCAGAACCTACACTAGGATGAGGCAAGAGAAACACCCATTCAGGTATAAAGTTTAAGGGGCTGCCAAAAAAAGAAAAAAAACAGTATTACTATCGAAATGAGTAGCATTGTATGTCAATGTTTTAAAAAGTCAAAATTTACATTCAAATCCACAGTGACCAAAATGCCAAAATAATCCAAGACAGGCTCAATATTTCTGGTGTTCTTCTTTTGCCTCAGTCTTCAAAATGGCAGAGACTGGGCTTCTTGGCCCTTTGGTCAACGAATTATAAAACACTTCTAGTTCACGAAACAAAAGAGCACTCCAAGGCTCTAGGCTGGTTCCTGGGAGAGAGGCAGTGGGTTTCGTTAGCTTCTCTGTTTACTTGCGGATGTATGTGGTTGGTTGGCTTTTTAGGGTCTCCCCTCCCAACTCCATGAAGGGGTTTTTTAAGGTCAGCTCAGATGACAGTTTGCACCTGGCCTATTAGCATTCTTTGATGTAAGTGGGTTCCACAGTGGCAGACGGTGTCACCTGTTGGCATCTGACTGCCCCTTGACTGGCTCAGTGCTGTTGACTGGGTTTAATGATTAGTCTCTTTCACAACAGTGGCCTTGCAGAGGCCTCACTTGCTGCCAGGCCAGTAACAAGCTGAAGAGGGAGGTGGTTATTGTCACAGGAGTATGAAGGTGCCACCCACTCACCCTTCAAGCATTTACAAAGCTCCTGTGTGTGCATACCGAGGTAACAAGCATCTAACCGCCTCCTGACCTTCCAATCTTGCCCTCTCAACCTCTTAGGCTCTCTACATCCTTTCATGGATATTAATCTTCCTTCCAATCCTTTTCCAGCTACAGCCAAAGTGATCTTGCCAGACACCAATCTGATCATATTACTCATCTCCCTTAAATTCTCTAAGGGCATTCTATTCCTCTTAGGATAAATTTCAAAA